ATAGATGTAGATCATAGTTTTTTTTTAATTCCGCAGGGACGGAGCCGACAGTATCCATTTAACTTCCCAGAAATATATTAACAACAATATTAATAATTAACACGAATAACATGTGGTTACCTACACGCAAAATCAACATAAGAGCTGTTACCAATGAAAACACAAAGGCGTATGTAGCGTTCGTAATTGCTTCCCACGATACTACTGTAAAATATACAGACAGTGACAACAATTATGGTTACACTCATTCATTTATTATATACTAGCTATCGCCTGCGACTCCGTCCGCTAGGGTATAAAATAAAAACTTTATAAGTAGCCTGTGTGATCTTCCAAACTATGTTCTACATATGTGCCAAATTTCATCAAAATTAGCTGAGGCATTCCGAAGATATTTTCAAACATCCATCCATCCATCTAAACAATCACTTTTATAATATTAGTAAGATAGTCAGATTCAAATGTTGAAGGAATTTCTTTCACTTTAATATAGCAATAATGAGTCGTTTTATCTTATAGGAGCTTTGTCTTTGTTTTTTTTTTGTGGATGCGAAGTTTTAGAGTTTACATGGTTCATATTGCGGGCTTCAAGATTAACTTCGCAGTCTTCTATTCAGATTGGTTGGTCACAAATAAGCTAAAACTGGCAATCAGAGTATGTCGACGTGACCACCTACGTTTCAAATTTCAGCACAGACGCTTGTCTATCTTAGTGTGAAAGGACTTTCTCTGTGCAGCGTGAAATATTAAACGTTGCGTATAAATTGTTGAGCTGACGCAGTAAATTCTATTCACGATGCGGACCCACCTTTATCCATTTTATTTCACGACGCACGGCCATTTCATGAATTTGATCTTGTATTCTGAAAGGGCAGCTATAAAACCCCGTTAAATTTATTGCGTCAATTCATATTACATGAACAGTTTAACTTTGTGATAAATTTTGGGTACTCCTATGATGATTGGATTGTTTTTTTTTATTCTTTTTTTAAACAAGAAAACTGCGCACTAATTTTTTACATAAACCCATATAGACATTAGGATCTATCGTTTCCGAAAAAAAAACTTATGCTTTTCTAGTAAACTTTTTTATTTCTACGGTTAAAAATCAATACATGTTCGTTAGTTTCGCTAAAAAACTCGAGAACGGTGGAACGGATTTATCTTATCTTGTTTTAAAAGGTGTGAAAAGTTCGAATAGTTGCCGGGAACTAATTAAGTTTTTTTTAATTCCTCTCGAACGGATTCGCGAGCGACAGCTGGTCGATATTAAACGTTTCTCAAAATTCCCAAAACACATATACACACCTTAGTAGTAGAACTATAATTCTACAGAATGATGTGGTACTCATAATCACATAAATCACGAGTATAAAAAATAATTTTACATGAGAATGACTAGTAACAAATACTTCTATACACATCTTAACTATCTTTTCTTTTATAACACAACTAGCTATCGCCGCGACTCCGTCCGCGCGGAATTAAACAAAAAAATATTTTTTAAAATCGGACCAGTACTTCAAACAAACAAACTCTTCCGCTTTATAATATTATAGTATAGATGTACAGTACCTTAGCATGCAATCATTAAGTCTGACGTATCGTATAAAGTTCACCGTCTTTTGTTTCAAATACCTGCTACAAATAATCAAATCACTTTCACTCTGATGCAATCTGCGTTCTAAACGTATTTATAACTCGACCTTCGTACAGTTCATGGTGACTAAATGGAGGTCAGTTTCTAGTGGTCACGGCAAACGTACACTTTAGATATTGTTCTTTCATTCTTAAATATATTGCAGTTCTTTAGATTTTCTGCTAAATGCTACTGTAGAAACTCTATTCTTACCAATTACTTGAGTAGATTTTAAACATGTGAATATAAAAAAGTTCTCACATGTTTAGATATTTTATCAAATATAAAAATGTTTTACTAAACCTAGTTAAAAATGTATGTATTATAAAATAAAATAAAATCAGTTTTGTGGAAAACTACTAAGACGATTCGTGATGCACCTTTAAATAATTAAAAAGTCAAGGTTCATTATCTATGCGATAAATATCAAGGCTCTACAAATATAACGAAACTAATTTGAGAAGATCTTAATTATGGGTGCAATACACTAATTTATCTTTATTAATTTGTCAAGGTATTAAAACTTGTTATTAAAATGTGGTGGAATATTTTTTGTATAAAATCTTAGCACCTAATTTCACTTTAACACGTTACTAAATATTTTATACGACCATTTATTATTATCAAATATTACAACTAAACCCTGACGGCTTTAGCAGTGGCTTTATCAAGATTTTGCACATCTCTAAAATTGTCTAGTCGAGACCATAACGTCTATCTGCAAATCGTCGTTTGTTCAAGGTAATTTCCGCAACGTCTGTACCGATTTTGATGAGACTTACTCGAAGGTAGCTGAGGTATACGGGAGTAACTTAGGCTAATTAATACCTTTTTAATTGGTATTGATGAAGTCGCGGGCATACGCTAGTTATAATAAAATCTTAACATGTTGCACTTGACTTTAAAGCATTAATAAAATCACATTAATTTTATGCAGTCATCTCTAAATCGTGCATTATCATAAAAAGCCTGACCATCAGATGTAATCGTGATGGGTTCCGGTTACACTGGTATCGTGTGGGTACAAGACCTTCCTTTCACAAAACGTCGACCATTATCTAGTATATTTTATAAATTTGAATCGATGGATTGATGTTTGTTTGAACGTATCTCCGGAACCGCTTAACGAATCTCGCTGAAATTTTGCATACTTTTTTAACATAGTCTGGAAGAACACATATACTACTCATTAAGGTTTTTTTTAATTACGCGGTGACGGAGTCCTGTGCAACAGCTACTCTTTAATAAATACATTACGACGCATTTGAGTTAGCACGTCGGGCCGGATTGACCGTTGCTTGCTTATAAAATTCAACACATAGTATAGCAAGATGCTAGCAAACCAGAACAGTAGAGCAATGTAACCACAACGGTGTCGTAGCCATCGTCCACTAACCTGTAATTTCAAGTGCAACCACATTATGCTTTCCTAGTAACAACGATAACAGCTTTTTACTTGTTTTATGATGTTGCAGTTGAATTGCAAAAACATCTGTCATCCATAAAATGTGAACAATACACACACAAAACTAACTTTAGAGATATCAAAGAATCGACTTCATTACATCGTTTTTGTATAACAATAGATAGCCTAGTAAAACCTTGACGTGTAACAAAGTTAATTAAGATTCAATTCCCAGCGGATAACAGTAAAAATATGTTTCTACGTGCAATCAAATAAAGTAATATCGAAGTAAGAAGATAGCCACAATATTTTTTACAATTTAACAACTAACGAGTAGTCACCCACGACTTTCACAGCATAAAATTACAAAAAAAGGCTTATTGGCGATGTGCATACATCAAATACGTTCCGTGATAGTCCCGTCAAAATCGATCCCGCTATTTCGGTGATGAAACAAACGCCTTGCGAACAGAATTAAAAAAAAAATTATTTTCGTTATAGATAAAACAAATACACGTACACGGAATATGATTTTGTTTCGGTATGTGACATACAGACAGTGCAATTTTAATAATGTATAGATAAAAAAAAAAATAAGGGCGTCGGTGGCTCAGGGGTTTAAGCACTTGACTTGCAATCTGCAGGTCCTGATTCGAATCCCGCCATGTACCAATGTGTTTTTCGATTATAACATATGTACATTTATCCGACGTTCATACGGTGAAGGAAAACGTCGTGATGCAACCTGCACATATCTGAGAAGGAATTCAAAGATATGTGTGAAGTCATCCAACCCGCACTGGGCCAGCGTGGTTGACTATAGCCTAGTCACCCGTAATATAGGGTAGGCTCCGAGCCCCTCAATGGAGACGTAAAATGAGCTGATGATATAAAGATAAAAATGAAACATATATTTTGTAAGAAAAGTCGACAATCTCTTGGTTACCAAAAATACGCTTCATTGGTTTGATTGGTGTATAAAAAAATGATTAAATAATATGATTCAACGAGGTAACTGCTATCTTCCTGTCACAATGTGGGTCGGCGACCTTGTGCTGCAAGAGGACATTTCGTACAAATCATTTTCATCACTTACGCAATACACAAGGGTTTAGTGATATAATAAAAACGGTACATTTATCTTTGATAATTGTACTCAAGGTACCCATAATCTTCCATATTAAATTATCCGATAAAACAATTACTTTTAGATGAAGATTAAGACTTATTTCTCTCCTACAAAGCTGTTATATTTCCACACTTGAATATGTGTATATTTCTACTTAATATGATAGAGTTTATATTGAAATGACTAAACAGTGTTCTAATCATCATTTATTTGGTAGCGACTGACTATGTTTTGTCACTAGCTGTCTCCCGCGTCACCGTCCGCAGAATTAATAAAAAAATAATTAGTAGCCTATGTGTTCTCCCAGACAGTGTTCTACATCTATGCCAAATTTCAGCAAGATCCATGCAGGCGTTTTAAAGAAATAAATTCGAAACAAACATCCATCTATTCATCTAAACATTCGCATTTATAATATTAGTATTTTGTCATGAAAAATCCTTACTCTTAGCGTTATCTTCGATTTCGGATAATAAAAGAAGCATAAACGTATAATCCCATTAAATCAATCTGCGTATATCGAACGGGTTTTCCATTAGACACAATACGTTCAGTAATGATGTTACTCGTAACGAATGATTCGGCTCCGGAGTTCGGACCCTCACTTTTCAAACGGAGCCACGGCTCGGGTCAATTGATTGAATCCGCGTCCGATCGGCCCGTGTCACTCACAATAGCTGAATTAATAGCCAAAAGAAATGACATCGACCGCCCTTTATTGAAAATGTTTAATGGTTTTTTTTTCTTCCCTCGCGTTTCGCTTTTGCCGCTTTCCATTAGTCCGGTAATGTATTTCCTTGTCCGTTTGCGAGACCTATAAAGCTTACCTCTTGTTTAATTTGCTCCGCTGCGTAACTGTCGACAAAATTATTTATCAATCAATCGAAATATAATTATTCAGAGTAAACATTGTTGAGGGGGATTGTTTGAGAGGGAAAATTAATAACATTTCCTTTCCACAAACGAATGACATTAAAATGTATTTGAAAATATCGACATAAACATAATAAAGCTATAAATATAAATTAATAACAACATTTTATTAATTTAAAAATTCTATTTAATTATATAATAGTTTGTGCAATTCGCCAAATAAAATAAAACTTATATGAAATCTGAATAATGAGTTTCTTCAATATGTATTCAAGCCTATTAGATTAAAAAGGATAGATCGATGAATGCTTTAAGTTGGCAGCCCTGAATCGGTGCGATCTCGAGGGCTCTCGAGGCCCCTCGTTACGGGGCCCATTAGGCCGCGGGCGACCGCGCACCGATTTTAGTTTCCGACCCGACGCGCCCCTGAGCACTTATATCCGCATGTATCCGCTATATCCGCCTTTAATAAGGGACTCGACGCCTAATTGACTTAACATTGGATTAATAAAGGTTTACGAGTAAAATATGTTTGTAATGAAGGCCTCACTTTATTTCATTAAAAGAGTTTTTATATTGTAAATATGTCGACTACATTACTGGCTTTAGATGGTTATATATATATATAAAAGAAAGTCGTGTCAGTTACACTATTTATAACTCAAGAACGGCTTTACCGATATGGTTGAAAATCGGTGAGGAGGTAGCTTATAGCCAGGAGACGGACATAGGGTACTATTTATCCTTTTTTTAATTTATACCTTGAAGAGCTGCTTTTTATTCAACTTACTAATATTATAAATGCGAATGTTTAGATGGATGTGATGTGGATGCATGGATGGGTGTTTAAAGATATCTCTAAAACGGCTGAACGGATCTCGATTAAATTTGACATACGTATAGAACATAGTCTGAAAGAACACATAGGCTACACTAATTAAGTTTTTCTTTATATCCACGCGGACTGAGTCGCGGACGACGGCTATTATGGTTATATTTTAACAATTAATTCACCCACTAATAAATGAGATATGCTGCTCCGTTAGTTATCTACACAATATAAAACAAACAACTCTCGATTCAAGGAATTTCATGTTGTTTCATAATAAGTACTCAGTACATACATGACTATCATTATTAATGCTAATAGACCTAATTAATGTGACCGAGTATTACCTATTGTATTAATTACCCTGTAAACAACACACCGGCCTAGATAATTGAAATACATTTTTATTAAAAAGCTAGCAGTCGTCAGCGACTCAGTCTGCGCGGAATTAAAAAAAAATAATAAGTAACCTTCCTACCTTAAGTAGCCTAATACTTTTTCCAGAATATATTATACATCCATGGCAAATTTCATCGTGATCCGTTGAATCGTTCTCGAGATACTTTCAAAAAAACAAACATCCATCCATCTATACATCCATCAAACTAAACATTCGCATTATATTAGTAAGTAAGATAACTCGTATACGCACTTTTCTAGTACATAAAGTAAGAAAAACCCATTTGATCTTCTACAATTTTATTAATCTTACGTTTTCCAGACTTTATATTATTAATATTTTTATTCAATGAATATATTTATTTCGTAATCTGGTAAAAAGGGACATGTGTAGGAAAAGGTTTGTACTGATACATGACCTTTTTATAATTCCATGTTCGGTAAAATATGATTACATACAGTTCCAAGGCCATCTTTGGAAAATTGAATTATACCCGACATAAGGAAATAATGAAAAGTACATTTTTAATACAAAGACAGCTTTAATAGGGCTACATACTCCACCTTTAAATTCACTGTAAAGTGGCATTACAGCAGTAGCAATAAACACAATTGAAGCGTCGGTGGCTCAGTGGTCAAGAACTTGACTTGCAATCTGCAGGTCCTGGGTTCGAATCCCGCCATGTACCAATGTGTTTTTCGATTAACATATGTACATTTATCCGACGTTCTTACGGTGAAGGAAAACATCGTGATGCAACCTGCACATATCTGAGAAGAAATTCAAAAGATATGTGTGAAGTCAACCAACCCGCACTTGGCCAGCGTGGTTGACTATGGCCTAATCACCCTTTACTTAGGGCAGGGTCCGAGCCCCTCGGTGGGGACGTATAGTGAGCTGATGACGACGAATAAACACAATATCAATTAAGCAGATCATACAAAATTATTTAAAAACTAGCGGTCGCCTGCGACTCCTCCGCGCGGAATTAAAAAATATTATAGGCTATGTGTTCTATTATACATTCATTCGTCTATGGCAAATTTCAGTAAGATCCATCCGTTCTGAGATACCTCCTAACAAACATACAGCCATCACTCCAAACATTTGCATGTATATGTGTAAGAAAAAATATAACCAAAATGACCAAAAAAATATAATCAAAGTTGAACAGTCCAGTAATTCCTATCTTAGTAGCATTAATTGCAAATTTTAATCAAGCAAAGAGTTAAAATTAATTCCACGACAAAAGTACTCATAAGTCTGTGCGGATGCCAAGTTTTAATTGATCATCAGGTATTGAATGGGCCGGGAACTTTGCTGAAAGGCTTCCGAGTGTCACCTGAACTACGAACAGTCGTTAACTTGCACGCCATTACTTTTGTTGGCAAGGCAAGGGATGCCAACTATCGCGATGCTCTTCCGACCTCGTTAAACTTTATTTCGTTCTTAATTTTCTTCCTAATTGATATAGTTAACGGCTGTGGTTGCAATTACATACTTTTATTAGCTTAGAGGAAATTTTCTTTTGGGTGATTTTCATTTTACAATTTAAAAAAAATGACTAGTTTATAAAAAACAAGACGTAAAATAGTGAGATTTTGGAGAAGGTGACAGATACCAAGTTAAATTACTCTCTTTTTATGGGTCTCCTCCTCTGTCTATTATAATTAAACAACTCATTTTCAATATACATAGGTGCCTATGGACAGAGGTCGCTTCTCCATGTCGGCAAATTCATATGGCCGCTTGCACCTTTGCCAGATTATAAAAAAAGAAAGTAAAAAAAAAATAAAAAATAATATAAAATGTTTTACACTAAGCTCATGATTAGTTTCTACTCCCAAAAATATACAGAAAAAATTTATCGTCTTCTATTTGAAAGACCAAACCTCATTTGATCCAAATAGATTCGCATATAACTACACTAATTTAAGAAGATCAAGAAAGGAGTGTCAGGGACATTAGCACACTAGAGTGTATTACAAATTAATCGATATTAAACGATTCAAATGTGTTTACTTACAAGAACTTTAAAGTTTTTTTACCTTTAAATTATTAACAATATTATAGAGAACATTTTAAAGCAACCAAAGGTAAGGAAGCTTAATGTATCAGCTCTCCGGACTAAGCCCCACCTTACCATTCAGCCTCCTAATATCCTCTCTAAGGATCATCAATTAAAACTTTCTGCTTTCACTGGAATAATTCCAAGTTATCTTAGCAACGCTTAGCGCTCCAACTTGCTCCCTCTACTCACCTGGATTCAATTTATGTTACCTTTATTTATTGCTTTTCTTATCTATTTAATGAATAAATCTAGAGTACCTCTATCTAATATAAAAAATCATATTTTGTACATACGATGTATTCGGGTTACTTAATTAACGTAAAATCAATTTTTAACATAGTCAGAAACGCGAGCCGTTGCTAGTGTAGCAATTAGATAAAAAAGATAAACAGATAAAATCTATACAGTTAATATAATTTGATTGTCAGTAAATACAAAAATTTATTGATAGTTCACTAAACAATAGATCAGTGGCAGTTTTGAAGATATTTTTTTCAAACATATATCACACTACCCATAGCCTACGAATCCGTCTGCGCGGAATCAAAAAAAAACTTAATTAGTAGCCTATATGTCATTCCAGACTATGTTCTACATCTACGCCAAATTGCCGTTCTGGAGGTACCGGAGAGTTCAAAAAACATTAATCCATCTAAGCATTCGCATTCATAATATGAGTAAGAGTAATGTGTAGAGCTCAATCATTGATTTCGGTCGTAAGACTTTGAATCAATCAATTGGTACTAAAATGATGCATTTATTAGAAGTAAGAAGTTACTTAATGAAACGTGCAGATAAAGCGATTGTGAAAGGTCAGTACAAATTTGCTTTAAAATACGAAGCATGGACATATTCTCATATACTGTATTGTTCTGTAACACGTTTCGTATGTTTTTCTATTTAACCTTCACGCATCATTACGATAACAGCCTGTACATTAACCAGTCTTGCCAACGCTGTGTCATCTCATCGGCAAAACATTTACCTTCTAATCCTTGAGAACGATGCCGTCATTCGCTCGTTTCTTTTTTCCATCACAAACTGATTATGGATAGAACGCTAGAGTCACGAGTTCCTCATTATTTTGCTTCCGTATGCTGCATCAGAGATTGCTTGTTTACTTAAAGTCGAACCCTATAATCAATCTCAAATCAATTTTGCTTACTTAAGATATTTATGATTTACATTTCTGATTCATTTGTTTTAAATTAAACCGAATTAAGAAACGCAATAGCAATCTGAAAACTTTATACGATCGATGGGATGTTATGTTTAATTAAACTTTAGAGTTTAATTTTCTAAGTAAATCAGTAGTTTTAACTAAGGTTTATAAACTAAATGACAAAGCCTTCATCATCGACCTTCTCTTATGTCTACGGAGAGCCGGCACACTATTTACTATTTCTCCATACATCTCTATCAGTCGTCATACCTGTCCACCCCTTCTTATCCTCTTTCATACTTTCTTTGGTCTTCCTCTATCTTTGTACAATGCTTTATTAACAAAAAAAAGGTCAAAAATAGTTTTGAAATCGATTAGTGCTATACAAACTTACGTCAGCCAAAGTAAAACGCCAATGGATAAAAAAAACACGTCAAAAAATATAGCATAAAAAAGTATTACACTAGCATTTCTGGAGCACGTTAGCATATTTCATATCGTACACTTATAAGTACATTAT